TTAGAATCTGTAAATTGCATTAGCAAGTTTTATCTCAAGTAGAAGATGGTATGGATAAAAGAGAGCTTTATATGCAAGGGTAATTATTCACTACAAGGAATACAGAAAGCAACAAAAATTTCATAGTATATAAGGGAAAAAGGATTCAATTGAGACTTTTTCTTTAAAAAGTAAAGGTAATGAAAATAATATATTTTCATAAATGTAATAATTTTGATTATAATGACAATGAGGCATAGTTAGTGAAAATAATGAAGTTTTTTTTAAAAAAAAACATGATTTCTGGCAAAACTATAAATGAGAACATAATGCAACATCCTTTTATGTTTAATTAACTTTCCAAGAATCATCAAAGGTCACTTTTGAGAAATATTCAAGGTTTAATCAGCTTTCCCAAGGTCTTTTATTATTATTTTGATATTTGATTTATTTTTTAACTCCTGCCCTGTCACCAACCTTACTTTTTCTCTCTTCTGTCGTTTTGAGGTGCCTAACTAGGCTAGATCATTCGATGTCCATTGCTTTGTGTGTGACTTCATACTGTTCTCCAGTGCTCTCATTCATCGCTTGAGAGTCTGAAATTTTTCTGAGATTTACGGTTTTGCTTGCCAAAGGATTTGCCAGATATTTATAGACTAATGATCAAAGGCATTGATTTAATGGCTAGAGATAAATACAAATCTTAAAAGAGAAGGGATGTGGAGAGCAGACTAATTTCATAAATGAGCAACTCATTAGTGCATTAGAGGATATTTTCATGTTATGATAGCTTTTGATTTCTTGTGCAGTCTCATTATGGTGCAGACTCAGATAATAAAATTGAGATAACGAGGAACCTCTGTATTATTACTATCCTCATTTTATAGATGATTAAAATGCAGCTCAGAGAAGTTTAGTGACTTAAGACAACACAGCAAGTAAATACTGTCCCTTAATCCATGCTCTTTATGCAAAGAAGATAAATTTGGGATTAAGGGTGAAATTATTTTCTTTCGGTTGCAATTTAAATTTATGCTTTACTGTAATAAGAAAGAGTCTCCTCAAAGGACTCATTACTTTGAATAAATGTTAAGATTTCTGAGTACTCTCAGGTCACAGGCTCAAGTCTTCTCTTCTGCGCTTGATTTTGATCTCCATAGGAAATGATTGCAGGTCCCATGTCTGAGAATTCCTTCTCAAGTAAAATGAATGGAATAATGGAATGAGTTTAGAACTAAGAATTAAGATTTATGTGTTCTAGGTTTAACTCTGATATTGACAAATGGTCAAAAATCAAATATAACCTTGGACAAGGAGCCTTCTCAGTTTCGGTTTCCTTAACTCTAAGATTCTGAGCTCGTTGATCACCAAAGCTCTTTATATGTCAGGATTCCTTATGTCTGCTTACTACCTGCACTCCACTACAGGCCAGACAGGTGATCCTATGCTGCTATGCATTTGAACTATGAGATCTGACACAAGTGGAGTTCTTCAGCAACTAGTATATTGGTAAGAGTTTGACCTCAAGAGTCAGACATACCTGACTTGAAACCCCAGCCATGTGATATTAGAAAATTCATTGAGTTTCAGGCTTCTTGTTTCTACAACTAGATTATCAGACAAATACTAGATATTAGTAAGGATGATTTAATATACGTGTCATAATGGATACATAGGAAAAACTTAGTAAACACTAGCTTTCTTGTTCTCCCTCCACCTTCTCCAAACACAAAAGCTGCAAAACATATTTGCTATAGGGCCACCACACTTCTTTTACTAGGAGAACATAGAGATGCAAATGATTAAGAAAAAAACAATTAAAATGGGTTAAGATATCACTGTTAAGCAATGCTTATTTAAAAGACTGAATTCGGAAGCTATCAGTTGTATGTGCATTCGCTTGGAAGTTCCTGAACAAAGCATTAATATGATTATGTCTAAGTCAGCATCTTCTGGTGACCTGGAACTGCCGGTCATTGCTTGGCTTTTTTGCTAATCTCTGAAAGCTCAGTGTTTTTATTGCCAAAAACAATGTAAAGGATCAGATCTTCCTTTTAAAGATTTTCTTAGTGTTTTACTATCTCATTTCTTTCAGAGAAGCCAAGCTGAGAATTTTCTTAGGTGGACTGAATATATGTCCTCTTGGCTGATGTTCCCATCTTATTCTAGACTTTCTTTGGGAACTCAGTTCTTATTTTATCTATCTATCTATCTATCTATCTATCTATCTATCTATCTATCTATCTATCTATCTGTCGTCTGTCTATCTGTCTGTCTCTCTGTCTGTCTACCTACCTATCTATCTTCATCATCAACAGCGTAATCTATCTATTCATCTGTTTTTCATCTATCTTGTGAAACACTAATGTCAAATATATTTTTCTTGATTTGAGACCTGCATAGAATACTCAGAAATAGGTTTCCAGGGTGAAAAGTGAATCAGTTGCTTTTGTCATTTAATTTAGTTATCTTCCAAAGTATCTTAGCTACATTTTATTTAATAAAATTAGTTTCTACCATGTGTAGTAGCACATGACTTCTTCTGAAGAGATTCAGACAAAATTCTTCCTATCTTCAAAGCTCAAATTTCAGTTATTCAGAAAATGTCAGTGTGTCTAGCAGAAGGAATTCGAAGCTAGGCTGATCTCTTAAGAGTGCCCAGTTTCACTTTACCACCTCTATGGCTATCATTCTGTGACTCTGATAGCAACAGAAGAGGGTTCTATATGCAGGATGTGGGCAGAAAGCCAGGCAGGAGTTGTGCCACTGGTGTGCCAGCTGAGTGGTTTAGAAATCTTGTGTTCAAGGTTGCAAATAGCGGTCATTTGTAAGTGATCAGAAATCCCAAAGTGGCCAAGACTTGAGGCAGGCATTAAAGATTGAAGATGCAGATAAGTCTCAGGAGAAGAGCTCAAAATAGAAAAGGAGGTGGGTTTTAGATACATTCGGTCAAGACTCAGTGGCCAGAATACAGACTCTTAAACTAGTATGAAACTAGTATGAAAAAAAAATCTAGATACAGATGACAACAAACTTTGCCATTATTTTGTTTGTTGGTTACATGATCAGAGAATTTAATCTTATTCCACAAACCTACTCCATAACCATGGTAAAAAAAAAAAATTGAAATTCTGATAGTGGCTGTTTTTCTGTTTGTTTTCAATAGCAAATGTCAAAGTCCACCTGTGATATTTTAAGTGGTGATTGGAAGACAGGGCAATTTTTCTAAGTTTCAAAGAGACACATTCTTGACACATCTATGGACTTTAGTGTGAATCACAGTTTCACTACCATGGGTGTGAGAGTTCAGAGAACAGAGACAGTGTTTCTTTCTGTTTTGAATGCTGTGGTCCCTGGCATAAGCTCTGGTTCATGGAATATTCTCTATATACACTTTTTTGAATTGAGATGCTTAAGTTCAGAATGTTAAGAACAATCCAGATCAAGCCTGCTGTGTTCTGAAACTATGTTGTTTTCCTCAAGCCATCACTTTTCTTGAGCTGGAAACTTTACTTGATCAATAATGACTTTTCTGAAAGCCATAATTCCAGAACCCCATAGGTTGACTTTCAAGGCTTCTAGGCACAGCACATCTGTCATTTCTTTTTGACAATCTGCAAGGTGTGACTGCAGCATCTGCAGAGAGTGGATTAATAATGCTGTCCTGCTTTGTGTGAGAATCCCCAAGGTGGAACGGGAGGCTCAACACAGAGTCTGCACATGCTTAGCATGCCGGCTGGAATTAAACACCTCATTTGAAAACCAAGACACACAAAGAATAAAATGGAACAAATCCCTGGCTTTCAATTGCATTGCAAATAGGGCTGAGTGAGGCTTAAGTGTGGAATTCTGCCTAGGTTGTTCTGAATCTAAATGGTTCATCTCTTGCAGAAGAGCGGTTGGTTTATTTCAGTGTTTGAGACCAGGTAAAAATGTTGAGTATATAGGCTATTTTTCCTTACATTCAACCATTTTATTCATTCATTTGGTGTGGACACCCATTATGTACTGTAGATGAAACAGAGAAAAAGACAAATTTTCTATCCTCATGGAGCTTGCATTCTGTGGTAGAGACAATGAATAAATGAGCAAATAAATACATAGTGGCATTAATGAATAACAATATCACAGTAAGGTTGATATGCTGATACCATAATGCCTGACACCAAGTATGATGAGTGACAGTGACAGATAATGATCAGGGATGGCCTTTCTGAGGAAATACTCTTTGGGTAGAGACATGAATGAAATGAGGGTGGAGACCATAGAGAGATATCTAGGGGAAAAGTTCCTGGCAGAGAAAAGAGAATATGCAAAGGCTCTGAGGTGGGAATGAACTTGGCATTCTGGAAAACAGCAATAAAATTGGTGAGACTGCATAGAAATGAATGGGGAAACAGTGCTGAGGAATAGAATGAGAGAGTAGAAGTGGGCAGATTCTGAAAGGCCTGTTTGCTTGGATATTAGATTTTGTTTCAGGTGTGGATGAAAAGGCAATGGAGAGGCTAAAAGAGAGTGGGGAAATAAGATCAGATTTACATGTTTAATAATTACACTGTGTGGCCGGGCACAGTGGCTCACACCTCCCAGCACTTTGGGAGGCCAGGATGGGTGGATCACCTGAGATCAGGAACTCGATACGATCCTGATCAACATGATGAAACCGTGTCTCTACTGAAAATACAAAACATTAGCTGGGCGTGGTGGCACCTGCCTATAATCCCAGCTACTCAGGAGGCTGAGGCAGGAGAATCACTTGAACCTGGGAGGTAGAGTTTACAAGAGCCGAGATGGTGCCATTACACTCCAGCCTGGGTGATAGAGCGAGACTCCATCTCAAAAAAAAAAAAAAAAAAATTACACTGCATGATAGGATGAATAGCATTCCTTTAAAAATGCCCATACCCTAATCTCTGGAACTGTGAATACATCACATTACATGTCGAGGGGAATGAAAATTTCAGATGGAAGTAAAAGTTGCTACTCAGCTAGTCTTAAAGATACTGTTTTGGATTTTGCAGGTGCTCCCAATGGAAACAAAAAAATCCTTAAAAGTGGAAGAAGGTGGTAGGAAAGGTTAGAGTGATACCAGGAGAACTCAATCGACCACTACTAGCTTTGAAGCTGGAAGAATGCGGCTTTGAGTCCTGGAGTGTGGACGGCCTGCAGAAGGAAGCAGGGGTTCCACACTGGCACCTCTAGAAAATAATGGAGCCCAGCGAGAGTCAAGTTGGACTTCTGACCTACGAAAGAGTAAGATGATGAATTTATATTGTTTAAACCACAAAGTTGGTGGCAATTTGTTATAGGAGCAATAGAATATCAATACACTGTAGCCTCTGTGTGGGGGATGAACTGGACCATCTAAAAGTACGGGAAGTACAGTTAGGTTGTTCCTATGATTTTATGATTCAGGGAAAGTGGTGGTCTAGACAATAGAGAACAGTGAAGATGGTGGGAAGTGGTCAGATTTGGGATATGTTTTCAAGTTGACAAAAATTGTCTTGGGTAATTCCCAGAATTTTGATCTAAGTTGTTGAATTTGAACAATTAGGTGAGTCGTGGTGCATTTGCTGACAGGAAAAGACGGGAGCTATGGTTTAGATGAGAAAACTAAGAATTCTGTTCTAGAAACTAGTTTGAGATATTTTTCAGATACCCAAGTGGAGGCATTGATTAGGCAATGAAGATAAATGACTAAAGCTCAGGAGATGGGTCAGGGCTAGAAATACCAATTTGGAATGGCAAAGCTACAAAATAGAAGAGGCTTTTGCCTTAGATGTTGTAATGCCACCCTAAAAACCCCATGACTTCTACTTGAAACGTTATGTGAGAAGAAAGAATGATTTTGGATTATTTGTGGTCTTATAGTTACTAAGCTGATAATCTAATTTCCCAAACTGTTTAATCACTTTATATTCAACGAAACTTGAATTTCCAAAATTGCTTAAATCAAGCCCAGAGAACAGCAGTATCTAGCTTATTTTCTTGCAGACTCAGGGACATAGCCATGAATATTTCCTGATGATGTGTTCTTATTAAACTTGCTGGGGTAAATTGCGTGACAGAAACAACTGTGGTTTCAGTGGGTGCAGCCTTTATCTGTGGTTGAAAATGGCTCATCACAATGTTGACATTTGGAACAGTCTGATGAAAAAAGAGAGGAAAGGATGTACCACTTCCCTTTTAGGACATGAATCTGCAGGTGCACACATCTCTTCCACTCAATTCCTTCTGGCTCAAAAATAATGTAGAGTCCCACTTAAGATTTTTGCTTTTGTTGTTTTCACCTGGATGGCCATCTGCACAGCTGAGATTTTGGGATTCAATTACTAATGAACAAAGAGAAAGTAGATATTGGAGACAATAGTAATTCTGTACCTGTCATTTCCTTTGGTCATGCTAGTAGTCTTATGTATCCTTCTTTCTGCCCCTAAAACACACACCGTTCCCCAAGGGTTGCATGCCAGTTACTACATCCAGCTCAAAGCCCCAGATCTGCAGGTGATGCATAGACCTTCACTAGAACTAGGAGTGGCTCCTCGTAATTCAGGGAACTATATAACCTAAAAGACTAGTTATTTGACCTCTCCCCAGTGTAAAACAGCAGAGCAGGAGCTGTTTAGTTGCAATTAAAACATACAAACAAAAGTAAAAAGGCTCCAAGTTAGAAAGAAGAAGAGTCTGAAGAGGCAGCACTCACTTAATAACAATGATCAAGTGCTGATGTGCAGGAATACCAGAGGCTCCTGTATTAGGTCTGCCAGAGCAGCCATAAGAAACTACTACAAACAAAGTGGCTTCAATAAAATAAATTAATTTTCTCACAGTTCTGGAGGCTAGAAGTCTACGATCTTACTGTCAGCAGGTGGTTTCCTCTGAGGCCTCTCCTTGGCTTGCAGATGGTTACGTGCTCGCTGTGTCCTCACCTGGTTTTTCCTCTGCCCGACCCTGTTGTCTCTCCCTCTTCTAATAAGGAGACCAGTCACTTTGGATTAGGGAATCCCCTAGTGGCCTCATTTTAACTTACTCCCTTCTTTAAAGGCCTTATCTCCAAATATAGAGTCCCTTTCTGACATACTAGGGTTTAGAGCTTCCACATAAGATTTTGGCGAGGGGAGAGGAGTACAGTTCAGCCCATAATAACTCCTTTCCCTAGCAGTGGAGTAAATTCCTTCTTTAGCTCACCTGGCATCCCTGGCATTCCCTGGGCAGAACTTTCTGAATTCGTGTCTGTATCTGTCCTAGGACCCAAATCATAGAGCATCAGATGAGGTCAAAAATGTTCTTGTCTCAGTAATAAAAGTTAAGGGAGCACAAAAAGACTTAATAATAAAACAAATTTAATGATATATTTTAAACAAACAACATGAATGTAAAGAATCTCTAAATCTATGTTGAACAAAATAACACTGTTTAATAATGATGGGATTGTTTTCATGATTTTCTTTTTCGTCTCAGGATGTGTGGCTTCCTATGGCACTGTTACAGATCATGTTAGTATTAAAAAATTTTGCTATTTTGTTCATCCATGATGTTTTGCAATGATTCTGATTCTTTAAAATATTGTATTCACATAGTGTCTTTATTACTGACTGTTTCTGCACTACCTTAATTTTTCTACTTGAGGGCAGGGCCTCAACTTGCCTTACCCTCATATTTCTCCCTCCCCCTTCAACCCCTTTCTTTTTCCTCTGGAAATTTTTTCTTGTCCATCGCCCCTTCACTACATCTGAAATGGACACAGGAGAGGATATCCCTCCTAGTGACCAAACCACATTCTTTTGGTGCAAGTTCAAAGATCTATAGGTGTATTAGGTGTGTAGCAACACCAGGCTTTGATCAGCTAGGTTTCCCATTCATTCAGCCATATAATTTCCTAAAAATTTTAGTTAATTTCTGGTCTATTAATTTCTAATCAATTCTATAGGACAGAAATAACAGCCAATGGTCTCATCCAAGGTACTTCTTAAGCATAGAGATTTTAATCTTTTATTTTCTGTCCTCTGTGTGCTGCCGTTCTCACTAGGACTTTTTTTTTTTTTTTTTTGAAGGTAGCTAAGGACATTAAAGAATAGATTCAGAGGGGAAGAAAGATCCGAAGTCTGATTTGTGCCTCTGTGCCCGCTCCCATTGTCTGGCAGAGAACACTTACTGGGAAGTACTTGAGCAAAGCCTAGGCTATAGGCTTATCTCTAGCAAAGGCTGCTTCTTCAGAATAGAGAAGCTATCAACTTTCCAACCCTGTAGGATTCTAACTATCTAGACCCTTCCCCACCCCATGCCCCAAAAATAAGAAAAAGAAAAAAAACTGTCTATGCAAAAGGAGCTGAATTTCCTTCCATCCCTACTTTTAAGTAGGCTGACTCTAGCTGGAATTCTGCCCATCTTTACAGGGCTTTGCTAAAAATGACAAGAAACAGTCAACAATATCCTGTACTGATATTCTGAATAAAATTCAACACATTCTTCAACTAGACTCAGTCAGCCTGGGTTCTTATGTCCAAGTTATCACAGGAAACCTTGTGATAGGCAGAATAATAGCCCCCAACCCCCTCACCTAAAGATGTCCATGCCCTAATCTCCAGAACCTGTGAATACATACATTACATAGCAAAGAAGAATTAAAGTAGCAGATGCAATTAAGGTTAATAATCAGCTGACTTCAAGATCATATAGTTGACTTTATTCTGGGCTATCTAAGTGGCTTCATCAAAATCACATTGGTTCTTAAAGGCAGATGAAAAAGACAAAAGAAGAGGTCAAAGCAATTTGATGTGAGAAGGATTTGACCTGCTGTTGCTGGCTTTGCAGATGGAGGAAGGGGCTGTGATCCAAGAAATGCAGGCAGCCCTAGAAGCTAGAAAAAAGGAATGAAATGAGTCTCCCCTAGAGCCTGCTGAACAGAGCATAGCCATGATGACAACTTAGTTTTTAGTCCTATAAGATCCATTTAGGGTTTCTGACATCTAAAACTGTAAGGTCATAAATTTCTGTTGGTTTAACCCATTTAAGTTGTGGTATTTTTATAGAGCAGCCATAGGAAATGAAAGCAATGTTTTTATCAAATGTTTTGAAGTTCAGTTTTTAGCCTGAATTTCTTCTGTCCTTGACATTCACTGCCTAACCATTAAGCCAATGTCATATATGTTCAGTTGTGTTATGCCTTTATCTCACTATAAGTACCAGATTCTGTTCATTGGTACATTGCTTCGTAGCTCTGATAAGACCCAAAATAACTTGGCTTAAGTAAGATAGAACATGGTTTCCATTTTACATAAATCTGAAGAGAAGCAGACCAGGGCTGTTCCAAGGGTTGGTAATTCAGATCTCTCTCTTGTTCCTCTGACATCCCTAGGTATTGCTTCCATTTACATGGCTGGAGATGATTCATCATCATATTTTAGTTACTGGAATAAAGAAGTGAGAAGTGAAGGGCACACACCTTCCCTTTAGGGCCATAACTTGGAAATTACACATATCACATGCATTCCATTGGCCTGAAATTAGTAACATGCCATATTTAGCTGTAAGGGAAGATAGTATGTGTAATTTTTAATTTGGTGGCTGTATGCTCAACTCAAATTTGAAGATCCTATTATTAAAAGGATGAGAATGGAAATATGAATTCCTGCTACATACAGGAAGTGGCATATCATTGTACAAAGAGAACATTTATTTCAATTTGCACTCAAAAAGGGGAAAAACGCTTATCCCCACAAACTGACTAAAAGTTTTCCCATGGACACTGGAGTAAAATGGGGTCATCACAGAATCAGCATGCTTGCAAGACTGTATTAGATATAGAAAGAATGTTCAAGTAAGAGACTGAGGGTTGCAATGGTGCATTTTGGCAAAGGAGTGTTGAAATCAAGTAAAACCCTCATGTAAGGCTAAGATTTAGTGGAAACTAACATTTTACACCAACGAGTGGACATCCCAGAGTAGATCTGGGGATAGGAGAACAACATGGAAAATATGAAGGAAGCTCCAGATAAGACCAGCCTAGAGGCTCTTTTCTTAGCCATTATAGTCAAGAGTTACCATCAGCTCTCCTGGTGAGGAGAAACCAGATTGTTGCCAGAATCTATTGTGTATTGCTTTTAGATTGACATTTAAATATGGAGATTAAATTGCAGATGATTCACATTCCAGAGTATAGATTTTTTTCATTTTCAACAAATCCTGTGGTCATCTTTATTAAAATCTGGAGTGAAATACCCACGTAGGTGTTTTCACACATAGATAATTGG